TTACAAACTGCAGACAACATCTTACAGGCACATAGTTGCTGTGAGACTTTTCCCTAAGTTTTTCTTTAAGTGTAGTTACCCTTGCACGCTTGAAACAGTGGAGAATATTTGAATAATTGTGTTTCCTACCTGTGCATAGAACCGCAGCTCCATGGGCTTCACTGTTGGGTGGGAATACAGGAGCCGGGTGACCAGGAAGTGATACCATGTGGTCATGAGCTCCTTCTTCTCCAAAATGGCATCCTCGTCTCCCAGCAGGATCTAATGGGACAAAAACACAGGAGGAATGCTGCAGACTCAGCGATGGACACAGCTGCACTCCAGCTCTCCAGAGGCATTACTCCTGTTCTGCAAAGGTGAGGATTTATTCAAAATTACATAACAAAGATCTTTCTCACAGCCCAGTTTCCAAATCAGCCTTAGAGCCTTGGTCAGGGAGAGAAACCCATCTGCTGAGGCTCACAAATCATCAACAGAGGACAGGAGACATATTAAAGTTACTTATGGCTACACTGAGCTCCTGAAAGTCACAAGGATGGATTCAATACTTCAGTCCAAAGTTTCCTTTGTTCCCAGCAAAAACACACCTTGCAGATGGACTCCATGTGGGGATTGGAAGCAAAAGTTCCATCCTGTAGATACCGCTGACATTCTTCGTGCCAGTGCTGCCACTTCAGCTCCAGCTCTGTCAGTGTCTGGGTGTTGCCAAGCTGAAGAGAGGGAATAAAGAAATACAGGGAATAAAGGAAACACCAAGTCAAATCACACCAGGCTCTTGGGCCAGACTCACAGTCACTCCTGATAAAAGGCTAACCATGAGGCTGCCTGTCATCTTTCTATGTTGATTTGTCACCCAACAGACTTTTATCTGAATTGTTGGGGTTTTGGGCAATTCAAGAATACAGTTATTGTTATTGTAAAGGAGTAAGACTGAGATGTTCTAAAGGGGAACAAACTGTTACAGGGGACACAAAGGGGTGTCTTTTCCCAACAAACTGCATGAAAAAACACACTTTTGTACATACACTGGGCACAGGCATCTTCTTCATCAAGTCATCCAAGATTTTGTACATGTTCATGGATGTGGGATTGGCACTGGCTTCCTTGGAGAGCAGGTGCCGCGCTTCGTCCATCCGGCCTTGGAGCACAAAGACATCCACCTGCAAAAACCCCCTGTCCATGAGCTCCATGCTGGGCAAGATTATAGAACACTCAGGAAAGGGATCAGAGGGGTATTTGAACTTGTAATTCAGGCAAGGGAAGTGGAGTAAAATGTTTAAACTGTAGACACTGCTAATTCAAGTAACAGTGTACGGCTTGACTTGTATGGGTCATTAAGGATGAGGATGGGAATCGCTTCATCCTAAAGCCTACACAGGCAGACAGCAATGAGGTGTCATGTCCAGCAGGGAAGAGGAAGGAAAGCAAAGACATTAATTCCTTTTCTTTAAGAATCTTCCAGGTGGTGATACTCACCACATTCCAGAAGAGCTTGTGTTTGGATGGACTCTCACTGCTCAGAACTTCCCTGACCATGCTGTCCACGTCACACACGTGGAGCCGCACCCAGTCCAGGAGGCGCAGCAGGAGGGCCCCAGCTGTGCAGACAGATTTCCCCCTGTCAGTTCCCATTTTTGTTCCCAGACTGCTCTCACACATTTCACAACAGTTTGACATCACCAGATGAGATTTACTGACTGGATTTCTACCTGCCACCCCCAAATGACAGTTCCTTATGCAGAGAGGCCCTGGGAGCACCCAGCCTCTGATGGGTTTTCCTGTGGCAACACCATCCAGTAGAAAACCCAAACTTGAAGAAATAAAAAATTAGTGATCCAGATCATAAATCCTGCATTGTCAAGAGACAAACATAATATTTCTCTTTATTTTAGCGTCATTTCATTATTACTAACTGAATATGAGGAAGAAATTTGGCACTAAGTGATTAATTTAGATTAAGTAATCTATAATTTGTGAATCTCTCCTGAATTCTGGGACTGTGTAAAAGTAGCACATTTGTTTGCATAATATGATTTCCTTCAAAAATTACTTCCTACTTTAAAATGCCAATGTAAACAGACTGACTTCAACCTAAAAGAGTTGTATCAGAGCTGTGTAAATGTCAATGAGCATTGACACATTTGATGCTTAAAAAAATGTTTAAGCTTATAAATAAAATAGATTGGCAACAACTTTTGGTAACCCTCCTCTACATAACCTTTCTGACAAAGAAACAATTTAGATCAGAGTAAGAGAAAAAAGTAAAAAGCAAATTGAATAGCTTGACATAATTCAATATTAAGAAGACAATTAACTGAGGCAGAAGGAGTATTAAAAGGCTTATTGACACTCTGCATATCTCTAAAACATTAAACTACGACACAGTGAATGTGCTTAAACAAATAAATATGCAAAGAAGAAACCCTTCAGTCTTTACACCAGGAAAGTTCATGGCTCACCTGTAGCTGCTTCAACAAACAGAATCTCACACAGGTTCCAGATCAGCTCCATTGCAGAGAGAATGGAAACCTGAAGGAAAGCAGGGCCAAGTTTCAGAGCTAGTCATTATTCCAGTTGGGTTTTTTAACCACAGAAAGGCATCTGCTGTCCACAGCAATCAGTTTTAACAGAGAAATATCATACTGACGTTTCAGAGATAAAAATTAAAAGACACAGGTGACAATTTTACACTTTTTTTGTGTCAGAAAACACTGACACCGTGTAACGAAATGCAGCAATAATCTGTCACCAGTGAGCAACCTAACTGGTCTTATTTTCAGCCCTTCTGCACTTTTAAGACTCAAAACAAACATCAAAGGAAGAAAGAACAGCCAATGAAGCAACATCACTGCAGCTGATAGGATAAAACTGGTCTGAGCACTCTGCTCTTCCCAGCACACTCCCACAGATCTGACAGCTCACCATGAACACCCAGAGGCTGCTACAAGGCTCAGATGCAGCTGATTGGAATCTGAGAGTTTGAGGTGAAACACCACACAGCAAGTCTGAAACTTTTCTTGTCAGCTTTGGTCATGAACTGAATCCCATACATAAGGCAGAGTTAAATCTGAAGTGCTTCATGTCTCAGTGATGGCCTGGTGAATCTGCCAGTAATCCACATTCAACCTGACAGGACTGCAGATTACCTGAGTGCTGTACTGGCCTTGCAGGGCAGGGTCCCGGGTTGAAACTGAGGGAAAAACAAGTAAAGTTAAAGAGCAACATATTTACCTTTGACAGTCCCTTCTGAGCTTTGAGAGCTTTCCATATATCTGCCACATGAGATACAAAAAGACTTCAAGTCCCCAGAAAATCAGTTATAATACAGTGGGAAAAAACCAGTCCCTGACCAGATTTACAAACCAACTTGGAAATCTCCAGCATGGAAACAGAATCTTGGTAATTACTGAAACCTACACATGCTATTGTACAGTAGTTGCAATAAGTTATCATTACAGTCCTACTTTAATAATTGCAACTGGTGTTTCCTTTTCCTGCAATAAGAGAACAAACAAACTTACTAGCTGCCTGGTGCATGTCCTCCATGCAGGCTCTTATCACTGACCGGTAGTTTTTGCTCACTTGAATCAATCTGCCAAATACAAAAAGACTTTGGTTGGAGGGAGCTGTTGGAGTTTCACTGTTATTCCCCCTAAAACCTTGCAAGTTTCTTTGCAGCAGCAACTCCCAGTATCTGGGTGGATCCAGCTGGAATCACTGAGACCGTGCCATACTCTACCAGGTAACGGTTATTGGAAGGATCTGAGCCTTGATTTGTAAAAGCCCCCCAACAAGGTCATTTTATCTGCCCCGCTGCTGATTGCAGAGTTGGTAAAAGCAGCCTGGCCAGCGGCACTTGCCTCACCGGAGGCGTTTCTCAGCCCTTGGCGTTGGCCCCGGGCGGGAGAAGGGGCAGCGGGTGCCTCCCACCCACACCCACCCTGCCCATCTACTCACTGCGCCTTCCGCGACTTCCCCGCCAGCTCCTCCTCGCTCCGCTGCAGCCCCATGAAAATCCCGTGCGACTCGTTGAAGAGTTTCCGCAGGGTCTGGATGTAAATGTCCTGATCCCTGCGGACCACGAAGACTCGGGAGGAGCTCGGCACTCCATCCCCGGTACCTGCAAGAGAGCCCGTCAGCGCCCGGGCAGCAGCGCCCGCCCTGCCCTCACCCCGGGAGCGGGACAGGCATCGGNTGGATGGATGGCAGGCACCGCATCACAATCTGCTTCATTTTCTTGTCAGGACGGATTCAGTGCTGGATGGGAGCATTGCTGGCTCTGGGTGTGTAGTGCAGTGATGTAGTTGGTCAGTCAGGATTCAAAGATTCACCAAATGGGTCAGGTTGGGAGGACCACAAACTCGGGTCCAAACTCCCTGCTCCAGCAGGCTCATCCCAGAGCACATGGCACTGGATTGTGTCCAGACAGTTCTGGAATATCTCCAGTGAGGGAGACCCTGTCTGATCTGTGCACAGTCACTCACACTGTGTTGTTTTCATGCTCACTTCATTGACTGATTGTTGTATAACAACACAGCATAGTGTCTGTCAAACAGATGCAGGTAGAGAAGCCTCTGGGATGTTGAAGGTGACGCTCTCTGTAGCTCTTGGGCATTGATAAAGCTGACAAATTATGTGCTCTAACCAGAGTGAGTTGCCTGCAGGTTGGGGAAGGATGAAGCAGGATTGCAGCAGGAAGATCTGCCACTGTGCTTCACTCACTCACTCACTCACTCACTCACTCACTCACTCTCACTCAGGGTTCAGGAGGAGGTTGATATTCCCTGGACATTGGGCTGAGGTGCCTTTTGAGTCTGCAGGAGGCTCATCACCTTTCTGTTAACGCTAGAAGCTCACCTACTATGGCATTCAACTCCATAACCTGGTGTGATAAAACTAATGGCATCCTGTTCCCCTCCTTCCATTCTGCTCTCCTTCCCACTTCTGCGTACTCCTCATTTTTTGCCTGTGCTAACCAATAACCAAGTTCTTCAGCAATACACTTTTTAAGACAAGTATTAGCAATGCTGCTTTGGTCTCACAGCTGGAACCAGTCACTCTTAGGCTCGTGCCTTCCCAGGACATTCATTAAAACTTAACTTTTCAAGATACCATAAATCATTTGCTGTCCTCATATGACAAATGCAGTAACACTCCCTGGCTAAATTGCCCTTTTTTACTTATCAGCTGCTGCATCCATCATTTCCAATAAAAATAAAGCCAGCAGTTATCTCTGGGAAGAGCATGTCATGTAACTAGTCATGCTGAGAAAAGGAAGTGGTGTCTGTTCAGGTCAGAAAGAATGAACTTTTGCAGGTAGAACAAATTAAATACTCAGAAAGCTGCTTGAGAAACTGAAGACTCATCAGTTTTAAACCCCTCACCGTTTATCATGGGTAAGGGTCTGTGTTTTGTTATTTGAGGATGTGCCTGTATTTGAATCTCTGCTGTACAAAGCCACATTCACCTATTGTCTTACACAATGGTGCTGCTCTGTGCTGCAGACTTCTGAGGATGTTAGTGGGCATTCCTACATCTAAAATACCATTCCACACATCACTAAAAGGCTCTAGATGCAAATCAAAACTGGATATCTGAAAACCCAGGAGTATGAAGCCTCCTGCCACTGTTCCTCAAGGCTAGGGCACTGCTTTTATAACTGCAGCACTTTCTTGTGAGTGGCAGAATATATTTAGAATATCCATGTAACACTGTGTAGGGATCCACCATGTAGGAGGTGGATCTAGGAGTGGGACAGTGTCCTCTGCTGCTCCCAGGTCCATCTGTGTAAAGAGACACTGAAAGCTGGAACTCTTTGATCTTCTCCTGCTGTCTCTTGGCACACAGTGTCCACTTTGCTCACTCCCTAAAGTGTCAGTGGTTTTTCATATCCGCAGCATCTGTTGTTCTTAAATGGATGATGCCTGGGGAAATCATCTTGGGAAAGGTGAGTTTTAGTATGAAATCTTGACATCTTTTAGTCCTCTTAAACACTGGCTGAAGCTCTGCTCATATTTAGAAGGGAAACCTTCCCGCTCACCTCTCGGGGCTTCTGAACATCTCCAGTCCATATCATTGAGCAGAACTGGGAATTTCCATTCAGTGCAGAACTTCACTGTTCAGAAAGGCTTTGGAATATGGGCTGTGGGACCAGAAAGGAAAGCAAAGAGAAATTGTGTGGTTTACAGTCAGGAGGGAAAAAAAAACCCAAAAAAAGGTCTGATGAGGATAGGAGTTACTACGTTGTGAACTAGGAGATTTGGAAGCTATTTGGGGAACAGACGGAATGATCAGCATCATGAACAGGGAAGGAACAGCACCGGCAGGGCTGTAGGCAAAAGGTATTTTCTATTCCCAGGGCTAAGAAAGAATTAATGAAGAGCAAAGCCTGAGTAAAGCACTCAGACCTGCAGGATCTGATCCAGTAACCAGACACACTTGTTCACACCTCCAAATTACTGTTTGCTTTCAGTTCTTGCTTTGGACTCAGTGCAAAATAACAGTCAGTTCTAAAGGGGCTGGAGTTGGCTTTGTAGGCTAACATTTGCTGATGTGCAGGAGCACATACCTGCCTGTAGCTGCTTTGGTGTCAAAAAACTTAGTGTTTTAAAATCCCAGTGTGAAGTGCATATATATGGAATGACTGTGTTCCCTGCCCTCTTCATCAGAGGGTGGAGAATTAGGCCAAAGATCTCTGCAAAATCTAGATTTTCTTCCTTATAAACCTGTACAAGAATGAAAAAAAGCATGGAAATATTTTAAGAAACAACACATGGAATTTTTTTCTCCCAGAGATGGAATTTCTCAGGAATTCTCACTGTGACACTTCCCAATTCACTTCCCTTCAGCTTGGTGCATTAAAGAGGAGGAGCTCAGAGGGACAAAAAGCTTTGCTTTGCTCCCCTCTGCTGCAGCTCGGGCCCTGCAGGAGAGGGGCCTTTGTAGTTCTCAGTGGGCTTCTCCCCCTGCTGCTTGCTCCCAGTGCTGCCGTCTGGCCAGTTCCTTTGCAGGTTTTAGCACTGATTATTGTCAGCTCCAGCTTCTCAGAGTTTCCTCTGTTGCTATGTAAAAAGAACAGAGATGAGGTTTGTAGAAACCTGTTCTGTGATTTGGGATCTGTGTGATTGGTGGTGAGACGAGTGCTGGTGCCGTTTTCAGCCTTTCTGAGAATGTCTAAGTCCCATATGTTCTCATAAATTCTACAGTATTTTCCTGTCTTTTTTAGCACATTTGTTCTAGTTGTGATGCTGCCTTAATGTGTGTCTCACTTGACACGATTCCTGCCTTCAGTTCTTTCATGTCACGCTCAGGCCTTGGCCAGTTTCATTCTACTTCCCCAAAAAATCCTCCAACGGGCCTGTAGCAAAGGGATCTTCAAGGACGGAAGGGGAACAAAATACAACAGGATCATCAAGCCCTTCCTCACACTTCTCTGTGATGTTACATCATCTCTAAAAATAGAACTTAAGGTCCACTGGGAATCAGAACTCATCTTTTTGTTCTGTGAAGTACCCCATGGGTTTGGAGTTTTGCTTAAAAAAGCTATGGATGAGATAGAAGGGTGGGGATTAAGGTGCTTTGTTTCCTTGTTCTCACTAGTAGTTCTACTTCTTAGTGGTGATGATGGACTTGAGAAGGTCCAAACCAAGTTGCCCATTGCTTTTCAGAGCTCAGATGAAAGAAGGGTATCATAGGAACCTGAGGAATCACACATGAAGAGGTATTTGGGTAGAAGCACATGGTCTTCCTCAGCCATGGTTCTTCTCACCTCCCAGTACCTTAAACAAACAGAAAAATAATAGCATGAGTAATTAAACACAGAGAAAACAGGCAGGATCAACTGATTGATCTTTTGATGATAAATCAAGTAAATTGACACAAGTATAAGTGGAAAGCACAGCTAAAGAAGGATCTGAGTTGCAGTTACAATTTGAAACAGCATCTGTTGCCTTCTTGGGTCAAACTGAACACTTCAGTGCCTGGAATTTTTTCAGAACTGACTCATTAAGACCCTTCAGGAGAGGTAAAATATTAAAACTAAAAGGTTCTATGAAATTCAAGGCTATATTTTGGACTACAAGGGATGGTAAAAGGCTTCACTGCTCATGTTTTGTGGAAGCTCAGATGGCTGCCTGGGCCATCCTCCTACCTCGGGTTGGGCCATGGCCTGTGCTATTTTCTCAATTGGGGACTTGGATACCAAGCTTTGGCTTCAGCTTCCTCTGAAGAGGAACACTGGTGTGTTACTCTTCTGCAATTTCCAGAAAATTGCAGTAAAAATCCAATCTGTGCTCAGAAGGAGGGAGCTGGAACGTGAAGTAACATGACAAAGGCAGAGGAGAGGGACCAGAACTGACAGTGAAAAGCAAGTCTGCAGCTCTGCCCAGAAGTGAAGTTTCTCTTCAGTCAATATCTCACTATGTGAGCAGTTTATTCTGGACAAGGAATATCTCTGAAATGGTGCAGAAAGTTTTGTCCTGCCAGGAGCAGGGGTGTGTGACCACACAGCCACCTTTGTATCACAACCCAGAGTGTTCCCACACAGCGCAGCACCAGCGCAGAGTGATGCCCACCTGGAAAATCCATCTCTGGGGGATTGACAGGGATCATTTTGTGGTGTTTCTTTTCCATCTACGTGATGTAGAGAAGCATTTGGCAGATGATGGTGGCAAGTGTAATGCTGATGAAAAAAGGCGCAGGAACTGTTTTGTGTGAACCTGTGAAATCTCTGGAGATTTTCCTCCTCCCTTCCATTGGAATGAATTTTAAGAAATCAAGTAATTGATTTATGTAGTGTAATTCATGTAGTTTAATTTTTGGGGTGCTGCAGGTGCTCAGTTCCCTCAGACATGGCATCTCAACCAGGACAACTCGCCTTCACATGGACAGCTCAAGGTTTTGGGGAGGCAGCCACACCATCAGTGTCCTCCACAACACAGCGAGGGGCACAAACAGGAGCGAGAGATTTGATAAGGCAGAGACAAGGGGAGATCACAGAACCACAGGATCAATGAGGTCAGAAAAGGCCTCTGAGATCAGCAAGTTCAACCTACGCCCCAACATCACCTTGTCAACCAGACCATGGCACTGAATGCCACGTCCACTCTTCCCCTAAACAGCCCCAGGGACAGGGACTCCACCACGTCCCTTGGCTGCCCTTTCGGTCGGGCTGGGGGTAGTCACGGGAAGGTGTGTGCGAAGAACGCCGTGTGAGGCACTGAGGGGGCACTGAGGGGGCACTGAGGGGGCACTGAGGGGGCACTGAGGGGGCACTGAGGGGGCTGTGGCGGGCGGCCCGGCGGCTTTGAGATTTGAGGGGGCCAAGGATGCTGAGGAGGGCTAGGGGAAGGTGTGTCCGGGAAGGGCGCGGTGT